AAAAAGTCCATTTAAAGTAGCATTGGTCATTGGTGAAATGCAAATTAAGCATTAATGAGACACACCACACATGCTATCCTGGTAAATTTAAAGTGGCAATACCAAACGTCGGCAGGAAACAGAACAAATGGTATTGCCATAGTATGCTGGTGGGATCATAAAATAAGACCAGTCTAGCAAACAATGTGTTTCACGTAAAGTTAAACAAGCCACGCCATGCAGGAATTCCCCACCTGGATGCTTAGAGAGGAAATGAAAGTACATGCCCACACAAATATTTGTACACAGACGTTCATAACAGTTTTCCTCATAACAGCCAATGTGTAGAAAACTGTTTTTTCCATAAGCAGATGATATAAAAAAAAACTCTGGTACATCGTTACGATTTAAAAAGTTAAAAAGAAATTCTGATAGACACAATGATTCTCGGCCAAATGCAGAACAAGAGCAAACTCAGACGGTATGTGTGCTGTGGTCCCTAGCCAGTGATACTCCTCGCTGCGGTTTCATGACTGAAATGAGCAGAGGCACCTGAGTGATGCCAGGAAGTGTTCTGGGATGGCAGAAACAGGCTGGTCTCTAACTGTGCTTGCAGGAATGTATACGTTTGTCACAACTAAATAAACTGTACTTTTAAAGGGGATACATCTAGTTATTGGCTGTGCTAATTATGCACCAATGAAGTGTCATTCTTAAGTTACATATCTTTAAAACACGTGGAGTAAACTTTAAAAAGCCAAGTGTAGAATACTTAATATTTTATTAGCAATTAATATGTGTGGGTATGGGCTGAAGGAGGATATGCTTATAAAATAAAATTTGTTTATAAAAATTGTTTAACCTAAAGTAAACAATTTTCATTAAGTCAAAACTTTCCACTGAAGAATGTTAAGAGGACTAAATGAGATGTTAACTTGGAGAGAGAAAATTCCATATACAAAGAGTCTTATTTATTATTTCATTTATTTGTTGATTTTGCCATTATACAATTGACCAATATTATAATCCAGTGAATGGGAAACAACTAAATAAGATATGCAAAATATAATCATTTGTTTTCTTTAGCTGGCAACATTTCGCTGTGGAACAATGATGGAGGGGATAAAATCTCATCTCTCCCTTAGGATTTAAAATTCATCAGCATAGAATTTACCGAACATGTCTTCCAATTTGTCATTCAGGTTCCCAATTACATACTTAGAATCTAGGTTTTCCATCTGACAGCTGGCAGTTCCTGGTTTCCTGTTAGCATTTTGATCCATTTTCATGAAGAAATTGAGATAAAACTACTGTATCTATTAAGGCCCCAATAAGAACTGATTCCTGACTTCAACCTTTCGTATTATGAGCTTCAGGGAAAAATAGGTGATATGGGCCTTTTTCTCTCGGTAGCTGCTTCCTAAGTATGTGACAGTTACTTTGGAAATATAAATAATAATAAGTATAAGTAAAATATGCTTCTAACATGAGTCATAAGAATCAATTTCTGGTGAATGTCACTATATCTCTTCTTAACGTATTAATTTACTTAAATTGGAGACAATTTCTATTTGCTGCTTCACCCTGTGGAAGAAGCAACCTAAAGAAACTGATTGACGTTTCAAATAATTAATGTTTCACCCACAGGCCAACCCAGCCCCACTCCAAATCTGTAAGTCAAGATTTTCACCGAAGAACAAAAACAATAACTAGGACAAGGAAGTAATCCACAGAGTTTTGCAGGAGAACCAAGGCATAACTTCGTCCTTGGTTAGTACAGTCCAAAGTCAAGAGATGATTAATCCTCTAACTTAGACAGTAAGAGAGTGAACCCTCCCTGGCTCCAATTTCCAGTCTACTCAGACCCTCAGTGGACTGCATGAATGATGGCTACCTGCAAAGGAGAATTCAACCTGCACTACTTAGTTTAAATGTTAGTTTTAACCAGACACACCCTTACTGATTCACATGGAGTGAGGTGTAATAAAATTATCTGAATCCTCTGCCCCAGTCAAGATGTTATGAAGTTAGTCCTCAGATTTCCTCACTTTTTTACGTAATAAATGATCATGTCTTTACCAGAAACATACCTTCTTTGGACATCCCTGGCACACAAAGACCATCACAATTAAGCACAAAAAGATACTCAAAGGAAATGCGGTAGGAGGGAAAACAAGTGGTCAAGAAATTCGTTAATGTAGCAGAGCCTGAATTGGGTGACATCTGCTTTTTTTTCCCTTTTTTTAATTAATTAATTCAATTTATATCTCGGTCATAGGCCCCTCCCTCCTCTCACAATCACACCCACCCTTGCACATTCTCCCTCCTCCTATTTCCTCAGAATAAGGGAGCCCCCTATCCAGACACACCAGCTCATCCATAGTTTTCAGAGACCATCCAGAAGATTCATGTCAAGGAAAAAATATGTGTCAGGTGGACATAACTGAATCCCATGCTTCAAAATGTGATGTTGCTTTTGATGCTTCTTTACCTGCTTGGTATACTGTGGCCCCAGAGACTGAAACCTTTATTGCCACATCGAAGTTCCTGACAGATTCCCAAAGATCCTTAAGCAGAGCATACATCATGTGATTTTTCTACATGAAACATAAGTGTTTCCATGTTAGAATTATTAGAAATGCAAACGCAAAAAGGAAGACAACAAGAACATAAAATTTTTATTTTAAATGAAAATTTAGCTCCAGGGCTGGAGAAATGGCTCAGTGGCTAAGAGCGCTTGTTATTCTCACAGAAAATCCGGCTTCAGTTCTCAGTATCTGAACAGTGGCTCACAACCACCTGAAATTTCAGTTCCAGGAGATCTGACCCCCTTTTTGGACCTCTGTGGACATAAGGCATATACATGGTGCACATACCTACATGCAGGCAAAAAAACCCAAAAAACTCATACACATTTTTTAAAGTTATACCCAGAAGTATATATGAGAATATTCTAAAAGCTGAATGTAAATTTGTATCATCGCTCTTTCTCTCCATAGATAAGCAAAAATGTGTTATAGCTTTCCTGGAAAAAGTTAAGCAATATTCATTTTGTAAGTCAGATATGTGTGTGTATTCAAATTATATATACATATATATCAAATTGTATATATCATCATATGATAGATAATATATACACATCATATTTAATTTGATATATGTGTATATAGATATAGTATATCTCATATATCATATATATGATCAAATTTAAATAAACTAAAAAATTAAGTACAAATTAACACTCTAAGAAAACTCTACGTTCTGTAAGAAAATTAGTCGATTACTTAGGAATTCTGAAGTATTGAAAATTTGCAACACCATTTTATTTATAACAAGATTTCATTCCAGACTGTGATAGAAATAAGCCCTTGTTTCCTTGTTTTAAAAACAATATTTTAAGTCTAATTCAACATTTAGTTTTTAAATTTTCATTATAATATCTTATTAATTCAGAATGTCATACATGCATGCAACGTAGTTTAATCATGGCCACCCCTCACTCCTCCCAGCTCCCCTTCTTCTCTGTCTCCTCCCAACTTCATGTCACTACCCACCTTTTCCCATAACCCACTGAGTCCACTTTGTGCTACCCACGGTTATGGGGTCATTCTCTGGAACATGGTTGCTCTACCAGGAACCACAACCTTAAAAAAAAACTAATTTTTCTGCCCCCACCCCCCCACCACCACCAGAAGCCATCGACTCTTAAGAGCTGCTCTTTCTTCCTCTGTTGTGGAATGTTGCCTGGCTTGGTCTTGTGCAGGCCAAACACACCCGCCATGAGTTCATGAGTACAACAATGACCCTGTCATCTAAAAGACACTGTTTTGCTCTTGTCCTCCCTGACTCTGGCCCTTGAAATCTACTTCATCTCCTTTTCCCTGATGTTCGCTGGGCCTGGAAGGGAGAGGAGAAGGTACTACAGGTGTTCCATGTGTGGCTGAGTACTCCTGGTACACTGACTCCCTGCCTTTTGACCCATGGTGAGTTTCAGTGTTACCTGTCTGCAGCACTAAAGACTATCTCTCCTAAGGTCCAAGGGTTTCGCTAATATCTGGGTGAGAGATACAGATTTAGAGAGCAGGTTGATACTATGTCCATTTAGTAAAGTAATGGCGGTAGGTTCACCCTGGAGCATATCACCTTCTTCACAGTGTGTTCTTAGCCAGATTTACAGTGCTAGGCATGAATTTCCTCCTGTGGAGCTAACCTTATGTTGGTTACTGCTCTCTTACTGTGGCACCCATGGGCATATTTTACCGTGCTCATCATTATTTTAGCTCTTAAGAGGTCACAGCTGAGTAAGACTGTCGATCACTTTTGTCCCTAGCACTTTGCATATTATCTTCAAATACCATGAAAGCCAGCCAGCAGGGAAAAAGCTTCCTGGTCTATATGAGTTAGGTTTCACCATGTTCTGTCATATGCAATACTCTGTCATATGCAAACCTACTGTTTAATAAGATACATACGCTTAATTGGAATTACCCTATGTATGGGATAATGCTCCTCCCAGAAGCCATAGGTCACCAAATTAAAAGTCCAGGGCCATGTACGTAATACTTCCCCTAGAGTTGTTGGTCAGGGGTGTCCTGGAGACCTCTAAAACAATGCAGGGAATTGTCAATGCTCTTAGTTGCCCACCAGAACTTGATGAGAAGTCTATATTACTAAAAAGGTGGTTTTAAGACTCCTAAAAGATATTTTTGCCTCATGAATCTTTTTCAGAAAAATATGGTAATGTTGACTATGGTTCAGCTTATTACAAATAAGACGGCTTCTCACAGATGTATTGAACATCGTACTTAATGTTCTCAGTTGCATGTGTATCTTGTAAGGCAATATCAATTTTATTTTAAATCATGACAATTTATGTAAAGAAGGATGAGTTTACCCAAGGGCCAGGGGTAAACTGACATGCTTGGGTTAAATAATTAAAATCAGCAATTTTGCTATTCTGCGAAAATATACTATGCCCAAGTGCAGTGTTTCCCCGTAACTTTGTTTTCTATCCAATCCAGCCTTAATGTATGCAAGCATTTTTGGGAATGTTTCTGCAATTATTCAAAGACTATACTCGGGAACTGCCAGGTACCACATGCAGATGCTGAGAGTGAAGGAGTTCATCCGCTTCCACCAAATCCCCAACCCTCTGAGGCAACGGCTTGAAGAATATTTCCAGCACGCGTGGACGTACACCAACGGCATTGACATGAACATGGTATGTATTTCTGTTTCCCAGAACAGAAGCTGTGCGGGCATTACAGCTAGAGCAAAGTAAAAGGCCAGTCTCACCAGCTTCGAGCCCTGTGCTTTTGTTTTCTTCTCTTGGATGTTTATTTTCTCCCCTGGAGATAGTGTCTCATTCTCAATTCATGGCATTGCATGATGCTGTATCTAGTTATACTGTGTGGCGAAGGCATTATAACGTGATGCAAACTGATATAGCTACGTGTCAGAGAGTTCCCTCCTCCAATGAAAGGAAACATTGTCTTAGCTAAAACTCGGGCCTCTGTGGTATGGCCTGGTTATAAACAAACAACAACAACAATAACAACAAAATTAATATTTGGAAAACAAACTGTGACAATTCTTATGGCCCTAAGCAAAGATACAAGATTATCTTTGGATAATGTTTTGAAGCAGGACATCTTGAACACTTGTAGGAAAGAATAGAGACCTTAAGTATGTTAGCAAGCATTTTCTGATAGGAAGTTTCATACTTCCCTTAACAACTGATTATATTCCATTTCAATATACTTAGTTTAATGACTCCTTCTGCTCAACAGGGTGAGGGGATAGACATTCCTTAACACCTTTTAAAATAGTTGATATTAAAAAGAGAGAGAGAAAAAAGACACTTTTTACAAGCTCCTCCTGAATCACTGTGCAAAAGTCAGCATACTTAAGATGACCGGGTTCTGGAGAGCTCTTGTTAGAATTAAGACCTATGGCTTCTGGGAGGAGCATTATCCCATACATAGGGTAATTCCAATAATTAACATTATTATCCATGTTGTAAGGCTTTGGAGACTCACTCAATGCTACAGATAAATTATGCAGCAGAGCCAAACCCTACTACATATTACAGAGCTGTAGAAAAAGACAAAAGTACAGTGCATCTTCATGGCACCTCCTGCTCGTTCTAAAATACATCTCCTGAAAATACATCATTCATATTAAATAATTCTGTCAGTTCCATGGTGCCATTATTGTGTAAGTGTATATGTACAATTAAGATTGCTATTTTCCATTTGATCAGAGTCGTTCTAGCAAAAAGACAATGGATCAAAATTGGAAGTCATGGTGGATGCCATAGAGCAATTACTGCCAACTCAAAGACATGTTTATATATAGATAAATTTATCATAGCTGCATGTGATTTATTTGACTAATAAATAAAATCATATTATCATAAAAATATATATTTGAAGAAATAAATGAGCACATTTGAGCAAAAAAAAAAAAAAAAACAGAAAATGTAACTCAAGTCCATGAGCTGTTACTTTCAGTTGTCCCAAAGTTCATGGTGAAAAATCCACATAATAAATTGATCTCTTCTGAGATGACTGTAATCTTGCAAGAAAGATCACCTATATATCGGTAGCTTTCATAAGCTGTGATTGTGATTGTTTAACAAAGATACCAGCATTCAAAACCACTGGGGAATCTCTAGTGCTGGGCTGGCTTAAGCAGTGTCAAGAACTTTTAATTAAACTATGTGTCACTCAATTTTAATGTTTCCTACTGCCAGAGTATTTCAATAACAGTAGTAAAACAGTCATTTATTATTTTTACCTCCCTTCTCCATAAAAATCTAGATTTATGACCATTTTTGTGATAAAAATATTTTGTGACAGCTATTTATCTATCATTGTTTGACTCTATTACCTATAAATATGGTTTATATACCCCTTGCCTATTTACAATGTACTTATGAAAGATTTATCTCTTTCCTGTCTGCTTCACACCTTTAACACACGGAATCACAACACCCACCGGTAAGAACAGGAGGTATTTATATCCAATTTAATTCTCGTGTAAATTGTGGAGAATACCCTTGTGATCTGTCAGGTTTAGAGCTTGTTAAGTGATTTCCAGTGTTAGCCCTGATCTTTTTTTGCATGACATAGCAGAGGATAATACCAAGCGAGAGGCGAGGCGGGGGAAGGAAACATCAAAGAGGCCAAGTACAGAACAGAAATTCTCCGTTGTTAGTAACAACTTGACCTCCAGTTATGTTCCTGTCCAGTTCCCTACTCCCACAAAAATTTACTTCTCTGCCCCCATTCCAACTATGGTAGAGGTTCTGGGTATACGGTTTGCATTAGATAACTGTCATAAAGAAAATGTCATTCTCTTTCATCATCCTCTTCTCATGATGTAGGTGCTTTTCTCTCCTCTCATCTGCATGCCAGTATTACATGATCCTGGAGCGTGCGAGCTCTGAGCCATGTGCCGCTGAGACTTGCATGTGGTTTTGAAAACTTGACTTTGCACGAACTTCTTGTTTGTACATGCTGTCTACATTTTCATTTTGTGACTGCAGAGTGAGTAAAAGAAAAAGAAACTCAGTACCAGATAACTCTGAAACAGCAAATAGAAAATGTTTTGCTTATTAAGCATAAGCATGACATGTAAAACAATGTTGATTAGAGAAAAGCAACTGTAGTATTAGACTGTTAAGAGGTAAAAAAAAAAAAAGAAAGAAAGAAAGAAAGAAAGAAAGAAAGAAAGAAAGAAAGAAAGAAA